GACACACGTGTACACAGACAGACACACGTGTACACAGACAGACACACGTGTACACAGACAGACACACGTGTACACAGACAGACACACGTGTACACAGACAGACATATGTGTACACAGACAGCCAGACACATACACGTGACACGTGTACACAGACAGACAGACACGCACATTCTCCATACATAATAACAATTAATATAACCCAGAGAGATCGACTAGAATCTACAAAATATACCTAGAAAACCGTGGTTCTGCAACAAATCGCAGTAATGACATCTCTCTATAGCCTACTATGGGATGACGGGCATCATTTGTTCGTGGCACAGTCCCAGATTTGTAATCACAGGCAGTGCATGTGCTTTACTATGATCACATTTTATCATAACTGATATATATAGTGTCCTCGTTTATTCGTCGGCCGGATGCCACTTTTGCCGCGCATCGTAGCATATGCACCTATTTCATTTTAATAGTATTGCACAACGCGGCTACTGATACGGCAGATGAAGCATATCGGCCTACTGTACGACAAACGCGTTGAACATACGTTTGCTGCATGCATAGAAATATAATATAGAGAGATTAGAGACGCTATATAATTACATGGCAACTTTATTATATCTATGGCTGCATGCTTAATTGTCACTTGCGGGGTCGGGTCAGGTCACGTTTTAGTGGGCATGGCTGGTATATGGCTGATGAAATGCATTATGCGTCTGGTCGTTTACGAAACACTAATTTCAGATATAATTACTTACTTAACAATTAGTTTGTGATATTTTTGATATATAAATAATAAAGGAATAGTGAAAAATATCGTTAAAAATATCGTTATAATCAAGGCTCTCGATCCCCGCTTCCCGGCTCGGGAGCGGGGACGCGTCATCTCAGCGTCAATTTAGCCATAGATGTCTATATATGTACTGTATATAGTATTATCTATATATGTATTTATACATCTGTACTATCTGTATATACTATATTATAATTATAGATCGCACAAGGGGCGATGCGATGGGCAATGTGAGCTTCGGACGCTAGATTGCTACCGTTAGCGTGTAGTTGGCGCTGCTTTTCAAAACAATAGAACAGCGTTAAAATGGCTTTTACTTTTGCAGCGTTTTCATACATTGCGGCACTTATTTTAGATGCTTTTTTGATATTTTTTGCTATCTTTCATGTAAGTATTATTAGTTTGTTAATTCTGCAGCAATCTTTGGCTTTCTAAGCAATGACAGCTTGTAGTTGCATTTGTAACGAGAAAATGCAATTCGGCTGTGCTGACCGGCGCCCTAGGCTAGCCTCCTGCACAATTATTAATATCGCTGTGGCTATATGCCCGGCAGCCGGGCACGGTCTTCGTTTTCCTAAATGTTCGGCAGTTCTTAACCCTAACTCTAACCCTAACCCTAACCCTAACAAAAACCCTAACTCTAACCCTAACCCGAACCCTAACCCTAAACCTAATCCTAACTCTAACCCTAGGGCCTAACCCTAACAAAAACCCTAACTCTAACCCTAACCCGAACCCTAACCCTAAACCTAATCCTAACTCTAACCCTAGGGCCTAACCCTTGTTTACTTGAGATAACACTAAAA